TTTCTTATAATAACACTGTTGAGTCTAATACAGTTGGAGATTTTATGTCTTTTCTTTGAACTGTCAATTTTGTTCGTTCTGAATTTTAAGCTCACGCTATATATTGCAATATTAAGAGTGGAAATGAAAATTAAGCATCAATGTAAACTCTGTTCTCAATCCATTATACTCTTTCCTTTCAAACCCAGAAGACGGGTATCAAGTGTTCATTCAAATTATCATATGTTCAGCGTACATGCATAGTATTCCATAAGGTATTCTATAACCCTGACATCTCCTCAGCATGACTGAGTAATTAAAGTTGTTCTCTGTGATAAGTTATGCTTTATTTGGGAAAAACATCTGGGAGATAGGTCCTTACCCTGTCGTACCAAATATAAATTGCTGAACTTCTAACGCATGACGTTAAACTTGTATGCATTTAGATTCTTTCTACCGTACTCTCATAATTATACAATTTATCAAGAAGGAAACTCCAACAGATCAAAAGGATTTAGAGTGTTTAATGTCATCTACGCTGTGAAGATGTGAAAGTTCTGACAAACCAGTTGCTTGAATAAAATCGAGTCTTTGCAGCGACCTCTTCATATTGTATGAGTTGTATCTTTTAGAAACTTGCTACTACAAAATATGCCAATTTTGATATTTTTTTTGTAATTTGCGAGTTATACCAGGGAGTTTGCTGCGTTTATATATATTTTTGCAAGTCTTTCTAATGAAAAATAGTTTCGTAAGTGACCAATGCTGTCCTTTTTGAGAGATTACTGCTACGCCCTTTTTTGAGTCCTCATCGCTCCAAATCTAGGTTCTGCTTAAGGTTTCCAAACCTTTTTTTATGTTAAAATTGCATAACGAACGCGGAAACTTCTTGTCTATAATGTCATTTGCAGACATCTCTTGCTAACCTCCACTCCATTTTTTGAACCACTTTCTCGTTCTCTTTCAGTCTTTATTGAAGAGAGGAAAACTTTGTGGATCCAAGATCGCAGCATCGAATTTCAACGTTCAATTAAGTAATTTCACATGCTCCAAAATGATGTATTCAAACGAAAGTGTGATTGTTGGAAGTTGAATTAATTTAATTCTAAACAAAGCTTTTTTATACATGGCCAGCTCGCAATGCCTCTGTAGCTTTTTCTCGCAATTCCTTTATGGGGTTTCTCGTCTGCG